CTTTTGGGCCTCCTATCAACCATTGAATGGAGAAGTACTCGATGCGGCCGGTTCACAGCTGAAAGCGGTTAGCACAATGTCATCGGGCATTGATTATGTTGATGTGCCGGAATTTAAGCGTCGTCAAATGCCATTGGGGCATACTCCGGGCGTCGTTAAGAATGGAGTGGCTGATTTGGCCATAGGACTGATGATTGCAGCAGGACGTTTCTTTCATGCCGGACGGCAACTAATCGAAAAGTAAGTGGAATTTTGTGCGTATTGTTTATCAATGAATTAATTGGTGGCTGGGCGAACAGCTGTTCAATTAGCGAAAGCTTTTCTACTACAAAAAGCTTTCGTATGATTTATTAACCCTTAAATGAGCAATATATTGGGTGGAAATTTTAGATATGCGTTGGATTAAAATACAAGACTTCAGAGAATCAACATTTAGCTAAATAAATATAATGGTCCTTGATTCTATAAAAAAAATCCACGTTTATTGGTCAAACTGGCCTTTATAAAAATTCTTTAAAAAATCCACGTTTATTAGTCAAAGGGTCCTTTATAAAAATTCTTTAAAAAATCCACGTTTATTAGTCAAAGGGTCCTTTATAAAAATTCTTTAAAAAATCCACGTTTATTAGTCAAAAGGTCCTTTATAAAAATTCTTTAAAAAATCCACGTTCATTGGTCAACAGGTCCTTTATAAAAATTCTATAAAAAATCCACGTTTATTAGTCAAAGGGTCCTTTATAAAAATTCTTTAAAAAATCCACGTTCATTGGTCAAAAGGTCCTTCATAAAAAATCTTTAAAAAATCCACGTTCATTGGTCAAAAGGTCCTTTATAAAAATTCTTTAAAAAATCCACGTTTATAAGTCGAAAGGTCCTTTATAAAAATTATTTAAAAAAATCACGTTTATTAATCAAAAGGTCCTTTATAAAAATTCTTTAAAAAATCCACGTTTATTGTTGGGTTGGACCTTGATAAAAATTCTTTAAAAAATTCACGTTTATTAATCAAGAGGTCCTTTATAAAAATTCTTTAAAAAATCCACCTTTATTGTTGAGATGGTGGTTGATAAAAATTCTTTAAAAAATCCACGTTTATTAGTCAAAGGGTCCTTTATAAAAATTCTTTAAAAAAATCCACGTTTATTAGTCAAAGGGTCCTTTATAAAAATTCTTTAAAAAATTCACGTTTATTAGTCAAAAGGTTCTTTATAAAAAATCTTTAAAAAATCCACGTTCATTGGTCAAAAGGTCCTTTATAAAAATTCTTTAAAAAATCCACGTTTATTGTTGGGTTGGACCTTGATAAAAATTCTTTAAAAAATTCACGTTTATTAATCAAGAGGTCCTTTATAAAAATTCTTTAAAAAATCCACGTTTATTGTTGAGATGGTGGTTGATAAAAATTCTTTAAAAAATCCACGTTTATTGTTGAGATGGTGGTTGATAAAAATTCTTTAAAAAATCCACGTTTATTGTTGAGATGGTGGTTGATAAAAATTCTTTAAAAAATCCACGTTTATTGTTGAGATGGTGGTTGATAAAAATTCTTTAAAAAATCCACGTTTATTCGTTTAAGGGTCCTTGATAAAAATTCTTTAAAAAATCCACATTTATTCGTCTAAGGGTCCTTGATAAAAATTCTTAAAAAATCTACGTTTATTTTTGATATGGTCCTTGATAAAAATTCTTTAAAAAATCCACATTTATTCGTCTAAGGGTCCTTGATAAAAATTCTTAAAAAAACTACGTTTATTTTTGATATGGTCCTTGATATAAATTCTTAAAAAATCCAAGTTTATTGGTCAAAAGGTCCTCCATAAAAATTCTTTAAAAAATCCACGTTTATTCGTCTAAGGGTCCTTGATAAAAAATCCACGTTTATTGTTGAGATGGTCCTTGATAAAAATTCTTTAAAAAATCCACGTTTATTGTTGGGTTGGTCCTTGATAAAAATTCTTTAAAAAATCCACGTTTATTGTTGGGTTGGTCCTTGATAAAAATTCTTTAAAAAATCCACGTTTATTGTTGGGTTGGTCCTTGATAAAAATTCTTTAAAAAATCCACGTTTATTGTTGGGTTGGTCCTTGATAAAAATTCTTTAAAAAATCCACGTTTATTGTTGGGTTGGTCCTTGATAAAAATTCTTTAAAAAATCCACGTTTATTGTTGGGTTGGTCCTTGATAAAAATTCTTTAAAAAATCCACGTTTATTGTTGGGTTGGTCCTTGATAAAAATTCTTTAAAAATCCACGTTTATTGTTGGGTTGGTCCTTGATAAAAATTCTTTAAAAATCCACGTTTATTGTTGGGTTGGTCCTTGATAAAAATTCTTTAAAAAATCCACGTTTATTGTTGGGTTGGTCCTTGATAAAAATTCTTTAAAAAATCCACGTTTATTGTTGGGTTGGTCCTTGATAAAATTCTTTAAAAAATCCACGTTTATTGTTGGGTTGGTCCTTGATAAAAATTCTTTAAAAAATCCACGTTTATTGTTGGGTTGGTCCTTGATAAAAATTCTTTAAAAAATCCACGTTTATTGTTGGGTTGGTCCTTGATAAAAATTCTTTAAAAAATCCACGTTTATTGTTGGGTTGGTCCTTGATAAAAATTCTTTAAAAAATCCACGTTTATTGTTGGGTTGGTCCTTGATAAAAATTCTTTAAAAAATCCACGTTTATTGTTGGGTTGGTCCTTGATAAAAATTCTTTAAAAAATCCACGTTTATTGTTGGGTTGGTCCTTGATAAAAATTCTTTAAAAAATCCACGTTTATTGTTGGGTTGGTCCTTGATAAAATTCTTTAAAAAATCCACGTTTATTGTTGGGTTGGTCCTTGATAAAAATTCTTTAAAAAATCCACGTTTATTGTTGGGTTGGTCCTTGATAAAAATTCTTTAAAAAATCCACGTTTATTGTTGGGTTGGTCCTTTATAAAAATTCTTTAAAAAATCCACGTTTATTGTTGGGTTGGTCCTTGATAAAAATTCTTTAAAAAATCCACGTTTATTGTTGGGTTGGTCCTTCATAAAAATTCTTTAAAAAATCCACGTTTATTGTTGGGTTGGTCCTTGATAAAAATTCTTTAAAAAATCCACGTTTATTGTTGGGTTGGTCCTTCATAAAAATTCTTTAAAAAATCCACGTTTATTGTTGGGTTGGTCCTTGATAAAAATTCTTTAAAAAATCCACGTTTGTTGTTGGGTTGGTCCTTGATAAAAATTCTTTAAAAAATCCACGTTTATTGTTGGGTTGGTCCTTGATAAAAATTCTTTAAAAAATCCACGTTTATTGTTGGGTTGGTCCTTGATAAAAATTCTTTAAAAAATCCACGTTTATTGTTGGGTTGGTCCTTGATAAAAATTCTTTAAAAAATCCACGTTTATTGTTGGGTTGGTCCTTGATAAAAATTCTTTAAAAAATCCACGTTTATTGTTGGGTTGGTCCTTGATAAAAATTCTTTAAAAAATCCACGTTTATTGTTGGGTTGGTCCTTGATAAAAATTCTTTAAAAAATCCACGTTTATTGTTGGGTTGGTCCTTGATAAAAATTCTTTAAAAAATCCACGTTTATTGTTGGGTTGGTCCTTCATAAAAATTCTTTAAAAAATCCACGTTTATTGTTGGGTTGGTCCTTGATAAAAATTCTTTAAAAAATTCACGTTTATTGTTGGGTTGGTGGTCGATAAAAATTCTTTAAAAAAAATCCACGTTTATTGTTGAGATGGTGGTTGATAAAAATTCTTTAAAAAATCCACGTTTATTGTTGAGATGTTGGTTGATAAAAATTCTTTAAAAAATCCACGTTTATTGGTCTAACACTCTACCTAATCTGATATATCGTACAGGTTGTAGCCTTTGTTCGAAATTTGTTCACTTAGGGTTAAACAGGAAGCTTTCGATTACATTTAAAGCTCAAATGTTATTAACATTTTTTGTGCTGTTAACTTTTGACAGTTGAATTAAAAGCTTTTATTTAGGAAAAGCTTTACTATATGACATTAGGGTGGTCATTAAATTTACTGTGTTATCTGATTATTTCAGCTCCAAGTGGGAAAAGGAACGCATTAACTGGTTGATGGGTCAAGAGATACGTGATTCTGTCATTGGATTCATGGGATTTGGAGGAATTGGCCAAGCCATTGCCAAACGCCTGCAATGTTGGGATGTTAAGAAAATCATCTACCACACAAGGACGAGAAGAGACAATGATGTGGATTTTGCGGCTCAACATGTAACCTTTGATGAACTTCTGAAGGAAAGTGACTTCTTAGTGGTGGCCTGCCCTTTAACTGCGGAGACAAAGGGAAAATTTAATGCCGAAGCATTTGGTAAAATGAAAAAGAATTGTGTGTTCGTAAATGTGGGTCGGGGAGGTAAGGGTGTTGGCATTTCTGTGGTTTCAATTTTATTTAAATAATTTTAATTTTTTTAAGGAATTGTGGATCAAGACGCCTTGATTGAAGCCTTGAAAACGGGTCAAATATTTTCCGCTGGTTTGGATGTTATGACCCCAGAGCCATTGCCGGCCGATGATCCTTTAATGAAAATACCAAATTGTGGTAGGTATTTAATGTATTTTTTTTAGTTTTAAAATGGTTTGGCATTAAGGTGAGAACAAAGCATTAAGGTGAGAACAAATAGGAGGATTTTTTATCTGGCATAAAGTCTTTTTTTGTAAATAAACCATACATTCTGGTCCATTCTTATATTAAAAAACTAGACGTTGCTTTATCTCATAAAATATCCTAATATGTATCCTCACCTTTAGACTGGGAATAGGAAGCCAATATTTAATATAATTTAATAAGTCCGCACTATTTTGTGTAACCTCTACATTTTTTTTTTTAATTTTCAGTTGTCATCCCCCACATGGGCACCCAAACGCTAAAGACCACCACTGAAATGGCCATGTTGGCAGCCAATAATCTTATCAATGCCCTCGAAGGAAAACCCATGGTCTGCCCTGCCTATTGAAAATCAACCACCCAAATTTCTTTCAAATTCAGTTTCAAATTTACTCATCATTATCTTTAACACTCAAACTTATAAATAAAGTATCCCATTCTTCACGATTCAAGGCATTCAAATATTTCCTTCTCTGCTCCAGGACCACCTCCATCAAATCGGGTTCATGTTTCTGGGCCACTTCCAGAGCCTTACGCCAGTTATGCATTCTTAAACACAAGGCCACCGCTTCACGATATTTTCGATTATGAATTAAAATGGTTTCGGCTTCGATAAGTCTTCCCAACATTAGAGAATTTTCCGCCATATATTCAGGGCTGGAGGGATCCAAAGTTTTGATGTGCTGTAAATAGCTGACCTTGTCGATTTGTAATGCCGCCGAATAGGCTTCTTCGCTAATTTGAAGCTGATTTTTACGAGTAGCCACGGCAGCCAAAGTGGCCCACAGATACGCATTGTGGGCCAAACGGCAAATCTTCAGAGATTGTTGCCACTGGCCCTCGGCCAGAGTGCGATGCAATATTTCACAATACATATTGACGGTTATGGGTAACAACGCCCCTGCACAGCGGAATGTGACAATGGAGTCTTCAAAGGATTCAATGGCTATATTTTTACCAAATTCCCTGGAGGAGGAAAAAACGAACTAAGAATTTAAAAATTAAAATCCGTTCCTAACTTACGTGGCATCTATGGTCACTGTGGTCAAGGCAATAATGGTTGGATCTGGTGCTCCCTCCCCCGGACAATACCAAATACTGTAGCAGGTGTCATGCACCCCCACCAAAATATTTGACTCGCTTGCCCATTGCACTGTTGTCACCTGTGTTCCAATTTTATAAATCTCTCCCGATGTTGATCCACTTATACTACCACCAATTGCACTTCTCTCGGAACTACTGTTCAGATTTCTTGTCTCAGTTATATAAAGTTCCCGATTGTTGTCTATCATCACAACAAATTGATCATCTACCGTCCCAGCTCGACATGCGGTAATTTCAGCAATTTGAGTCTTGGCCTTCAGCATAAATGGTTCATATTGGCGTGTAGCTCCGGGTATCAAATCAAAGATGTGCAATACTGGAAGTGGAAACGTAAGAGATTTATGAAGTGAAAAGCTTAATGGGGTATTTTTTCCATAGAAGAGCTGCAGACTCTCTTCGATCCAAAGAATAGCTGCAAAAGCTCTTCTAGCCATAGAAGAGCTGCAGAAACTCTTCCAGCCATAGAAGAGCTGCAGAAACTCTTCCAGCCATAGAAGAGCTGCAGAAGCTCTTCCAGGTATAGAAGAGCTGCAGAAGCTATTCCAGCTATAGAAGAGCTGCAGAAGATTTTCTAGCTATAGAAGAGCTGCAGAAGATTTTCTAGCTATAGAAGAGCTGCATAAGGTCTTCCAGCTATAAAAGAGCTGCAGAAGCTCTTCTAGCCATAGAAGAGACGCAGAAGCTCTTCTGCAGTAGCCCTTCCAGCCATAGAAAAGTTTCTAGCCATAGGAGAGCTTCAGAAGTTAGTCGATCCTTAGGAGAACTGCAGAAGTTCGTCGATCCAGAGAAGAGCTACAGAAGCTCTTTAGCCATAGAAGAGCTGCAGAAGCCCTTCTAGCCATGGAAGAGTTGCAGAAGTCCTTCTAGCCATAGAAGAGCTGCAGAATCTCTTCTAGCCATAGATAAGCTGCAGAAGCTATTCCATACATAGAGGAACTTAAGGAGCAAGTAGAAGTGTTTCAGAAGGCCATAGAAGAGATTTTCTAGCCATAGCAGAGCTACAGAAGCACTTTTAGCCATAGAGGAGCTGTAGAAGGTCTTCTGTCATAGAAGAGCTTCTAAAACAGTTTCCGCCATAGAATAGCTTCAGAAGTTCTTCTAGCCATAGAAGAGCTTCAGAAGATCTTCTAGCCATAGAAGAGCTTCAGAAGATCTTCTAGCCATAGAAGAGCTTCAGAAGATCTTCTAGCCATAGAAGAGCTTCAGAAGATCTTCTAGCCATAGAAGAGCTTCAGATAATCTTCGATCCATAGAAGAGCTTCAGATGATCTTCGATCCATAGCACAGCTTCAAAAGAGCTTCTATTCATAGAGGAGCTTCGGAAGGTCTTCTATTAATAGAACAGTAGTAGAAGGTCTTCTGTCTGCAGAATACCATCCGAAGGTCTACTATCCATAGAAGAGTTGCAGAAGCTATTCGATCCATAGGAGAGTTACATATACGTTCTTTCTTGAGTCAATGCCTTACCCATAGTATCGGAGTTATCCCTTACAACCAGAGTATCCAATCCCAGCGAAATACTGCGTCCATTTAGCAATGGTATCTGGGCTTGACTTCCAGGATAGCGGGGATTCAAATGTAATCTTCCAGTATAAGTATATACCCATATTGATGTTGAGTCCAAGACCATGAAGAATCTGTGAAAATAATTATTAATTTTCCAAAAACAATTCAAACTACACCCCTTACTTCTTGCCCACTTGTATGACCCTCACATCGGTACGACCATCAATTATAATCGGTGTATTGATATACTTCTCATTGTAAATATGTATTTGATTTGATGTGGCCACAATCAAATGTCCATAACCCAGTGCGAAATTTATAATCCTCTCTGTGAACTCCAACATGTCACTGCTGCCATTGGTTATGTCCTCCAAGCGCAAGGACTTACGTCCCGTTGATGTGGCCTTTAAGTTTCTCGATATCATTTGTTTCTGGACAATATAACCCACAATTAGTTGTCCCGTAGAGGTACCACATGCCACCTGGGTACCATCCGATGACCAGGAGAGGGCATGAAATGAGCCAACTACCGGTTCATTGAAGCGTGCTGTGCTGTAGGACCACTATCGGAGGAAAAATATATGATAATTTTTATGGGAGTATTTTTAATTTTTGGATTACCTACCCCAGCTGTGGAGCACAATTTCAGCATATTGAATGTGCTAACCAAGAGAATATCCTTTTCGGGGTTAAAGGCCACAGCTGTTATGGCATACTCTTCTGTAGTACTTGTAAATAAATTGGCCCCTTGTGAATCCCATATCTTAAAGCGATAATCTTCACCCCCTGAGGCTATAATATTGGAATGTGGCGACCAGCTGAGGGAAAGAACCAAGCCATCATGGGCACGCCACTATTTAAGGAAATAAAAAAGCGATGACATATTATTAGTCCTTCAGGACATGTGCAGATATTTTCTTTGACAAATATATACTTTTGTTCCGATAATTCTTTTACTCACCCTTATCAATTTACTGTTAGCAGCCAAGGGTTTGACCGATATATAACCGCCTTGGCAGAAAACAATCGAGGTCGAATTGGGCGCCCATCTGGCGCAACGTATAGGTTCATCACTCTGTATAACCGTGGATCGCAACATACCCGAGCGAGACCATATTTTTATGACTCCATCCTCGCCGGCTGGAAAAAAAATCTCATAGTAGCAAATTTTATACGAGTTAAGTGCTATTTTGAAGGGTTATCAGGGGTATAATCTGGGAATTTTAAAGAATAGTTAATAGCGGCAATAAACGTGGATTTTTTAGAGAATTTTTATCAAGGACCTTCTTAACAATGAACGTGGATTTTTTAAAGAATATTTTTCGAGGACCTTAAGTGCAATAAGCGTGGATTTTTAAAAGAATATTTTTCAAGGACCTTTAAGGCCATAAACGTGGATTTTATAAAGAATTTTTATCAAGGACCTTAAGGGTTATAAGCATGAATTTTTTAAAGAATTTTTAACAAGGACCTTTAAGGCCATAAACGTGGATTTTTAAAGAATTTTTATCAAGGACCTTAAGGGTTATAAGCATGAATTTTTTAAAGAATTTTTAACAAGGACCTTTAAGGCCATAAACGTGGATTTTTAAAGAATTTTTATCAAGGACCTTTAAGACCATAAATGTGGATTTTTTTTAAAGAATTTTTAACAAGGACCTTTAAGCCCATAAACTTGGATTTTTTAAAGAATTTTTATCAAGGACCTTAAGGCCAATAAACGTGGATTTTTTAAAGAATATTTTTCAAGGACCTTAAGTGGTATAAACGTGGATTTTTTAAATAATTTTTATTAAGAACCTTAAGGGGTATAAACGTGGATTTTTTAAAATAATTTTTATCAAGGACCTTTTAGGCCATAAACGTGGATTTTTTAAAGAATTTTTATCAAGGACCTTAAGGGTTATAAGCATGGATTTTTCAAAGAATTTTTAACAAGGACTTTTATGGCCATAAACGTTAATTTTTTTAAATAATTTTTAACAAGGACCTTTAAGGCCATAAACGTGGGTTTTTTAAATAATTTTTATCAAGGACCTTTAAGCCCATAAACGTGGATTTTTTAAAAAATTTTTGTCAAGGACCTTTAAGACCATAAACGTGGATTTTTTAAAGAATATTTTTCAAGGACCTTAAGGCCAATAAACATGGATTTTTTAAAGAATATTTTTCAAGGACCTTACGGGGTATAAACGTGGGTTTTTTAAATAATCTTTATCAAGGACCTTAAGGGGTATAAACGTGGATTTTTTAAATATTTTTTATCAAGGACCTTAAGGGGTATAAACGTGGATTTTTTAAATAATTTTTATCAAGGACCTTAAGGGACCTTAAGGGGTATAAACGTGGATTTTTTAAATAATTTTTATCAAGGACCTTAAGGGGTATAAACGTGGATTTTTTAAATAATTTTTATCAAGGACCTTAAGGGGTATAAACGTGGATTTTTTAAATAATTTTTATAAAGGACCTTAAGGGGTATAAACGTGGATTTTTTAAAGAATATTTTTCAACGACCTTCAGACCAATAAACGTGGATTTTTTAAATAATTTTTATCAAGGACCTTAAGGGGTATAAACGTGGATTTTTTAAATAATTTTTATCAAGGACCTTAAGGGGTATAAACGTGGATTTTTTAAATAATTTTTATTAAGGACCTTAAGGGGTATAAACGTGGATTTTTTAAATAATTTTTATCAAGGACCTTAAGGGGTATAAACGTGGATTTTTTAAATAATTTTTATCAAGGACCTTAAGGGGTATAAACGTGGATTTTTTAAATAATTTTTATCAAGGACCTTAAGGGGTATAAACGTGGATTTTTTAAATAATTTTTATTAAGGACCATAAGGGGTATAAACGTGGATTTTTTAAAGAATATTTTTCAAGGACCTTAAAGGCCATAAACATGGATTTATTAAAGAATATTTTTCAAGGACCTTAAAGGCCATAAACGTGGATTGATTAAAGAATATTTTTCAAGGACCTTAAAGGCCATAAACGTGGATTTTTTTAAGAATATTTTTCAAGGACCTTAAAGGCCATAAACTTGGATTTTTTAAGAATATTTTTCAAGGACCTTAAGGTCATAAACTTGGATTTTTTAAGAATATTTTTCAAGGACCTTAAAGGCCATAAACTTGGATTTTTTAAAGAATATTTTTCAAGGACCTTAAAGGCCATAAACTTGGATTTTTTTAAAGAATATTTTTCAAGGACCTTAAAGGCCATAAACGTAGATTTTTTAAAAATATTTTTCACGTACCCTATAGTCCTTTTCAAGGACCTTTTTGTAATATAGTTTTTATTATCATTTATTTCTTACCCGTCAACAAACCAGCTGCATCTGGACTCCATCTGCCCGAAGAAATAGCCGCCGCATGGGCTGTAATGCTCCGCTCAACCCTTGAACTTTTATTCAAAATAATGAAACGACCATCATTGCTGCAAATGAGCAGGGTATCACTTCCCTTGCCACCACCGCTGCTACGGCCACCCAACAGCAACCAATGTAAGTCGGTGGGTATGAAATCATCTGGTAATTTAGCCACTTCCACGGAGTCCCGTGTTGCCGAGCTCCACTTGAAGATCTGGTGGTCATCACTGGAATAGAGTTTTTCATTATTTTTTTCGAAATTATTAAAATTGTTTCTCTAACCTCACAAAATAAATTTCATCATTGCTGCTCCAATCGACACAGCTCAAGGGTAGATTTTCCAAAGTTTTATCATTGTTGGCATTCTCCTTATTTCCTCCTGGTCCACTAGTGATGTTATTTGAATTTAAATTCAGACCATATTCTCCATTGATGTTCGTTGGTGTCTTTTTGCAAATATGAGTTTTCAGTTTCATTTTATTATTAATTTTCTTTGCTTTTGCATTTGAGGTTTTGTTAGGTTCAGCGAATTTTTAAGGACTAAGAAAAAATTATCTGTCATTTTTAATATACCAGCTAGTGCCATGGCAACGGCTCAAATGATTAAAGGACAGAAATTTTAATGGCAAACACCTGCTGCATTTTGTTTTGGGTACAATTTGAAAATAAGGGGGTTGTTTTTCACAAATATTGTTATATAGTTACAGCTATGCCCGTGTAGATGTCGCCACTAAATCTTCTCATTGGTTGAGAAATTGGGTAAGGAATAGTTTGTCTCCCTTTATACAAAATGTGTTCTCTAACTAGTAGGATTACCATTTCTTTTAAAATTTGTACCAACGACATGTAGGTATTGGATAGATGTAAATTTTCAAAACAAAAAAAAATATTTTTTCTGAAATAGTATAATAAAATAATAATAATTGTAGAATAATTTAAAAAATTGTACAATTTTCAGAAATTTTAAAACAATTTTTTTTATTTTTTTGGGAAAGTTAAAAAGCGTTTTTTTCTGAAAAAATTAAAAAAAAAATTATTTGAAAAAAAATCCAAAAAAAAAATTATTTAAAATGATATTTTTGAAAAAAAAAAAAATCAGACATTGCAGTGCACATGCGTTTTGGGCCTGAACCTAGATCCAGTCCGAAGATCTATAGCCCATCGATCAACTTTCCGTATACCGCCGGCTTTCGTCACATTTTTCAACGAAAACGTGTTGCTAACCCCCATGCACCGTTAATATAGGCACACATTGTGCTAAATCTTCCGTATAACGGTATCACCGTATATTTGGTATTCTTATGGGTTTTCCCATTTTTTTACGGAATCGTTTGATTTTTATACCCTCCGCCATAGTATGGAGGGTATATAAGTTTGTCATTCCGTTTGTAACACCTCGAAATATACACTTTGGACCCCATAAGGTATATATATTATTGGTCAGCATAAAATTCTATGTGAATTTAGCATTGTCCGTCCGTCTGTGGAAATCACTCTAGCTTCCGAACGAAATAAGGTAGGTTGATAAAATGTTATTCAAATGTGTACTATGTCTGCAGGACTTTTGGTATTGAAAATGGGCCATGTAGGTCGACGTCTTCGTATAGCGCCCATATAACGGTACCCTCCGATATGCGGTATTTTGATGATGTTAGCGACATTATTTACCGGAATTGTTTAAAATCTCGAATTTGAAGTTCGTAATGGATACTACAGCCTATGACAAAAAATTTTTTGTGCGGGTCCACGTCTTCGAATAGCCTCCATATAACGGTACCACCCGATATTCGGTATTTTGATGATTTTAGCGACATTATTTACCGGAACTATTTCAAATTTAGTATTTGAATTTCGCAATGGATACTACAGCCCATGACAGAAAATTGTCAGTGCAGGTCCACGTCTTCGAATAGCCCCCATATAACGGTACCCCCCGATATTCGGTATTTTGATGATTTTAGCGACATTATTTACCGGAACTATTTCAAATTTAGTATTTGAATTTCGCAATAGATACTACAGCCCATGACAGAAAATTGTCAGTGCAGGTCCACGTCTTCGAATAGCCCCCATATAACGGTACCCCCCAATATTCGGTATTTTGATGATTTTAGCGACATTATTTACCGGAATTGTTTCAAATTTGGTATTTGAAGTCTACAATGGATACTACAGCCTATGACAGGAAATTGTCTGTGCGGGTCCACGTTTTATAACCCCCCTATATTCGGTATTTTGATGTTTTTATTTACATTATAAACAAATTTTTTTTCAAGTTTCCCATTTGTATATTGTAATAGCTTGTGACAAAAGTTTCCTATGCAGGTCCACGTCATCGTATAGACCATAATTTACGGTTACATTCGGTATTTTTAAGATTTTAAGAGAATTTTTAACGGATTTTATTTTTTTGAAAATTGCCAAATTTTTAGAAAATGGTGGAGGGTATTCAAAATTCGGGCCGGCCGAACTTAAAGCTTTTTTACTTGTTGTATGTTCTGTATGTTCGTCCATCTGTCTGTCCATGATTGTAATAACTCTACGGTCACATTTATGGCCCGATTTCACGAAATTAAAAATGTATATTGGGTTGGGGTCATAAATGAAGCCTATTGCGTTTGGAGATAATTGTACAATATTTAGAGGTTGAAATGGACCAAAAACTAGAGGTCGCAATTATAGACCAATCGACGCGGAAAGAATTTTTATCAAGAACCATCTCAACAATGTGGATTTTCGAAAGAATTTGTATCAAGGACCTCAAGGGTTCTCTCAACAATAAATGCAGATTTTTTAAAGAATTGTTATCAAGGACCTTAAAGGGTATAAACGTGGATTTTTTAAATAATTTTTATCAAGGACCTTAAGGGGTATAAACGTGGATTTTTTAAATAATTTTTATCAAGGACCTTAAGGGGTATAAACGTGGATTTTTTAAATAATTTTTATCAAGGACCTTAAGGGGTATAAACGTGGATTTTTTAAATAATTTTTATCAAGGACCTTAAGGGGTATAAACGTGGATTTTTTAAATAATTTTTATCAAGGACCTTAAGGGGTATAAACGTGGATTTTTTAAATAATTTTTATCAAGGACCTTAAGGGGTATAAACGTGAATGTTTTAAATAATTTTTATCAAGGACCTTAAGGGGTACAAACGTGGATTTTTTAAATAATTTTTATCAAGGACTTTAAGGGGTATAAACGTGGATTTTTTAAATAATTTTTATCAAGGACCTTAAGGGGTATAAACGTGGATTTTTTAAATAATTTTTATCAAGGACCATCTCAACAACAATTCCGGATTATTTAAAGTATTTTTATTAAGGACCATCTCAACAACAAACGCGGATATTTTAAAGAATTTTTCTCAAGGACCTTAAGGGGTATAAACGTGGATTTTTTAAATAATTTTTATCAAGGACCTTAAGGGGTATAAACGTGGATTTTTTAAATAATTTTTATCAAGGACCTTAAGGGGTATAAACGTGGATTTTTTAAATAATTTTTATCAAGGACCTTAAGGGGTATAAACGTGGATTTTTTAAATAATTTTTATCAAGGACCTTAAGGGGTATAAACGTGAATGTTTTAAATAATTTTTATCAAGGACCTTAAGGGGTATAAACGTGGATTTTTTAAATAATTTTTATCAAGGACCATCTCAACAACAATCCCGGATTATTTAAAGTATTTTTATTAAGGACCATCTCAACAACAAACGCGGATATTTTAAAGAATTTTTCTCAAGGACCTTAAGGAGTACAAACGTGGATTTTTTTTTAAGAATTTTTATCAAGGACCATCTCAACAATAGACGCGGATTTTTTAAAGAATTTTCATGAAGGTGTGTTTTTAAAGAATTATTTACCGGAATTATTTCACATTTTGTATTTGCAGATCCATGTTTTATAACCCCAATGGTATCTCCCTATATTCGGTATTTTGATGATTTTAGTTACATTATAAACATATTTTTTTTCAAGTTTCGCATTTATATATTGAAATAGTGACAAAAGTTGACTATGCAGGTCCGGCCCGGCCGAACTTACAGCTTTTTTACTTGCTCTAACTCACCCCGTATGTCCGTTCACTCGTCTGTCCATATTAATTTGTAATAACTCTACGGTCGAATTTATGGCCCTATTCCCACGAAATTGAACATGTATATTGGGTTTGGGGTCAGAATAGAAGCGTATTGCGTTTGGAGATGATCGCATAACATGTAGGGTTGAAATGGGCCAAAAACTGAAAAATATCCAGATTTTTCAGTTGCTCTAAGGTCGCAAGTATGGACCAATTTGCGCGGAAGTTGGCATGGGGCTAGAGCTTATGGCTGGGCTGAAGCCTTCTAATTTGGATGGTCATCGGGTAATATTTAGAGGGTGAAATAGACCATACAATTTGTGTTAAATAAAAGTCAAAAATTTTAACCATATTTGACCTAAATATCCAAATGTCACCACAATGAATAAATTTTTCGTCTATTTTAAATAAAATTTCCAATCACTTGCCAAATTGACACCAATTATGTTGACAGTTTTCCGAACAAAGAATTGTCCTCCCTTGATGATAGCAAACTAAATGCCATTTATTTCATAAATTATAATCGAACTTGAAGGGTTGCTACCCCAAACACTGGTAAATGTCAAAGGACCCTTGTTTGCATTAATATATATTTGAGGGAACATTCGTGTTATTGTAGTATGCAAAACAATTTTACCTATTCACAACATACATGTATGTGTCCACACATAAATATCGCACGTCCACCATCAACAATCAACGATATCTAGAATATGTACATAATTTATGCATGTTCTGCTGGACAATTATGTTGTGACCTGATTTTCGAAGGACATTGACATGGGTAAAATGAGGTAATTCTCCTCCTCCCCATTGTCATTCACAGCCAATAACTTTTGTCACAATGTCCACAATCAGGTTGAAAGTTCCTGATTGTTGTCTCTCCGCTCCATGGAAAATCACCGACCGCGATGTGATAATGTTGTCAATGTATTATGTTGACACATTTATTGTTTGAAAGTCCTTATGTTGCAGGGGGGAATGTGTTTGTTTCATAGGTGGGGAAAAGGATTTACATTCTATAACTATGTTTATATGGAACAGTCTAAATGGATTCAATACATAAAACGTCGAATAAAAGTCTTCTATAGACATAAGAAGCTTATCTGTAGTAGGGGTTTTCATCCAGCAGAAGATCACCTGAGGGAAAATTTAAGAATATTAAACAGAAAATTTTAATTTATAAGAATATTTATTGGAGGACTACAAATTTGAGATTTTCAAGAATTTTTGGGAGTATAAATGAATCGAAGTATAATGAGAAAGAAATATAAAAATAGTGGATGTTTTTGGTTTGGTGTGACTACAACATTACTTTCTATACCCTCAGCCATGCGGCTTCAGAGGGTATATATCATTTTGTATATATTATCATTGGGTATATATCATTTTACGGCTCTCTCTGAACCAAATCAGTAAGTCCTGGACATTTTTG